CAAGACACTAACCTCTATATATACAATACAAGGCTTTACGGATGACATAGTAGGCGTGATGTCTAAATGACTATTTGAACACACCGATAGATACGTCATGAAGTATTTTAATTAAATTTAATTTAGATAAAGTATTATACTTTATCAAACGGTTTGTCGCTTTAAGTTGTCATTATGTCACAAATCAATTATTAAAAGTAGTTAAGTAAATAATTTCGCGAGTTTTTATGTAAAAATCAAAGCAGGTACGGTAGCGGAAATTCTCACACCATCACGACATGGTGGTACATCCCGGAGGTTAAAAACCGCAATTAAGTTTTTTTTAGGATAGGGTGACAAACGAGCACACAGTCCACCTGATGGTAACTGGTTGCTGTGGCCCATAGACATCTACATTTATCCTCGATTACAAATAAAAATGCAGATGCGTTGTCACCCGTGAGGATTAAGATTAAATGCCTCGTTTACAGTAAAAAGGGTCTACGGTTCTCTACACTCATCATACGAAACATAGCAGCATTAAGCTACTATTTTACGCTGGTCTGGAACATGGCTCTACCACTTAGAAAATTGTTCAAAATTTAGGTGATTCAAATTGCATTTGTAATTCCCCTGGTGGTTCAGTTGTTCATTGTCGGCAGTAGTCACTTGTTGTCATGTCATTATGTACATGCTCGTTTGCCTCTTATATTAAAAAAAATGGTAGCAAAACTTCAGCAAGTATTAAACCTTAAAGTCGTTTAGAAGATATTTAATTCCATTTTCATATGTATCACGTTTACGATGGTGCTGTGCCGGATACGTGGATCAGGACTATCGACCGATTTCCCTTCAAAGCCGCGTCTACATGCTGTTTTCGAGATTCATTTCGACTCGCTGCGTGCTAGTCTCGACGACATCCAGCTTCCTGAACAAGGCTTAGTACCATAGACTACATTCATACTCCTTGACAGGTTTTACAAAAGTTTAAAGAGTAGCCCTTCAATCTCTTAGCGGCCGAATTCGACCACGGCGCTAATCCGTCAAAATTCAAGCGGTCGGATTCGACCGCACACACCCACAGCACTTTAAACCATTAAAACTTGTATTATTATAGAATCAATATAAAATTTTCTATCCTCTAGTGCAATAAAAAAAACAGTTATCCTATGGATATTTATTTATAATCTACGTTCATCACATACGCCATTTTCGCGTGAATGTAATTGTGTTGATTTTTGGATTTTTCTAGTGTTTTAGTATAGTGTTTTATTATAAAATTGTAATGAAAGTTTTTGTGTGAATATAATTTATCTTTTTACGTAAATAATTTCGGGTAATATATATTAAAATAATTGTGATTTTCACGCTGCCGACATTCGCTTGGTATGTTTTTTTCTTGTTATCAAAATCCAATAGTTTTTTTGTAATGAAGTAAAACCTGACTTTTATATAGAGAATTTTGTATAGATTTTATAATGTTAGAATTCTTCGTAGAAAAGTAGTCTCTAAATATAAGTTTTAATGGTTTTAAGTGCTGCGGGTGGGTGCGGTCGCATGCGACTGCATGGGATTTTTATGGGGATTGAAGAGGTAGTATAAAAAAGACTTTATACTACCTCTATATAATATATATAATATTGTATCACAATTACATTTCAATGATATTTTTGTTTGTATATTCAACACAGCACGTGTCAAATGTCAACTCACTAGCGCCTAGCGAGTGACTGAGTAAAGTGCGGCGACATCGCCGCAATTGAGTGTCCCACACAACTGTAATCGTAACATTGTATGCTCTAGTGGATGCCTTACATGTTCCAGTTTACCGGCAAGTTTGCAGCGCGCTAGAACTGGCGTCCGGTAAACTTAACGGTGTATGGCTATCAAATTGAATTTCGATTCTACTTACTTGATCAAGCTTGCAGTGTCATGTAAACATTTACATGACGCTGCATTACATGACGTTTATACTATGAGCTTTTTGACGTTTGACTGACATTCGTCGGAGCAATAAGCGAGAGCCGCCATAGTTTCAACCGGTGCGGCATCATCCAGGCTTGACTGCGAACTTGAACGTGCGTGGTCTATATATGTAGTAGGTAAGTAGTACGTAATACTTTTAAATTAATCCTTAAAGTCTTATCGAATTCCACCTAGATTTAACAGCATACGAATACGTGACATTGAATAAGCTGATTTTGCGAACTTTATCGCAATTAATTTAACTTCTTTTACTTATAACGCGGTCACATTAACTTGACGCATGGCTTTGATGACGTCATTTACAACAGTGTAACAGAGATGCTAACCATACTGACGATTGCCGGGCGAGCTAAGGGAGTGCGGGGCTAGCGGGCGGGGCCTCGCATTCCAGCGATGCGTCAAGTTAATATGACCGCAATATAATTATAGTGTCCTACGTTTCTGCCTTAGTAAGTATAGGAACATATTCAAGATCGTCCCCATCATTAAATCAGATTTAATTGACCACAAATCCTCACGAAAGAATACCGATTCCTTACCTAAGGATTATTCTCGAGGCTTTTGAAATTTAAAAAAAAACATCTAAATTTCAATAGAAAAGATATCTGGGGATTTGGGAACCTATAATTAATATAATTAAATACAAACCCAAGCACACCACTGCAAGATTTCAAGATACTGTTTAATGCGCGTTGATTGGACCAAAAATTAATATTGACAAGCGGATGTTATGGCTGTAGCACGAATGTGTCAGCTCGACCGGGGATGGTCAACGAAAACTAACAATTGAATTGAAATGGTGTTTGAGTATTTTTGATTATGTTAAATCTAAATAACGCCACATTTATAGATCCTATCCAGGCGAAGTCGGGGTAGTCGTAAACGAAATGTAGGTATTCACATTGTAATTCATTCATTCATTCATTACAGGCCTTCACAAGTCCACTGCTGAACATAAACTACTTGCCCCAAGAAAGGCATTTTGTAATGTTCTAATTAAATTGTTTGTAGGACATGGAAGTTTTTAGGTTTTTTTTCTTATAGAATAAAGGTTTTGTCACCCTTCCACCTGGCACACAGTCCACCTAATGGTAAGTGGATGCTGTGGCCCATAAACATCAATCCACCAATCGAGGATCAAAACGCGTCTGTGTTTTGATCCTCGATTAAGAATCAAAACGCAGATGCGTTGTCACACGTGAGGACTACGATGGAATGCCTCGTTTCCAATAAAAAAGGGTCTCCGGATCTCTACACTCACCATACGAAACACATCAGTACTAAGCTGCTATTTTACGCTGGTATTATGTGAGAGCGTGGATTATCCAGTCGAGCCGACCCATTCGTGATACAACCATAACATAGCTGCAGCGTGGCTCTACCATATATAAAGTAAGTGAGATTTCATTCTGATCTAAACTTACACTCAACACGACGTGGTTACTCAAGGGCTAAGCTTCACAATAAGCGAGCAATCCGAGTTCGATCTCCGTCGGCACCAATGTCTTAAGTGCTAATTTACTTAAATAATTTTATTTTAAAAAGGGCAACAGTAACCTAATGGGAGGGTGCGGAACGCCAATTCAAAAGGTCGTGGGTTAGAATCTACTATTTGACCACTGTCGTTAAACACTCCTAAAACAAGTATTTTTTTTATTATTTTTTTTAAAAAGAATAATAATAATGCTATAAACATTACTGATATTCCCCTTAACCACTCGTGGTAAGCTTAAATTGCTTGTGTTACGAGTGGTTCACGCCAGTAGTCGAATGGTGGATTCGAACCCACGACCTTTTTGAGTTCGCGGTCCGCGCCCTGCCATAAGGCCACTGTCGCTTTTGAAGTAAGAAGTAGTTTCGAAGTATTTTAAGCTTACCGGGAGTTTAAAAGGAATATTAGAATGTTAATAGCTTTTGCTCTTCGATCAACAATACCAACTAGATAACGCGTCACGTACAAAATCATAGCTAAATACTGTCCGCATGAATATAAACTATGAAAAGACATAAATTAAATAACATTTAGTGTGAAATCAACCTTAAGTTATAACAAATATAATTCTTTTTCCCGTTATTGCCCTGCGAGCTACACTCTCACGTGCAAGAGCTCACGTCTCATGTGCGCTCTTATTTACTGAGATGGATTTCTTGCGCCGACCCGACATCTAGTTGGTATTGTTGATCGAAGCTTTTGCTATTATTTTTTATACAATAAGGGTGACAAACAAGCACACAGTCCACGTGGTTGGTGTGGCCCATAGGCTCCATATAATCGTGAAGACTAAGATGGAATGTCTCGTTTCCTGTAAAAAAGGTTTCCGGTTCTTTACACTCATAATTCGAAACACAACAAATTTAGCATTAAGCTGCTATTTTACTAGGGTATTGCGTAAAAGCGTGGTCCTTCTCTGATCGAGCCGACCCAAATGTGTTACAAGCATAATATAGCTGCACCGAGGCTTTACCACGTCAACTCTCTCAATTAACATTAAAAAAATATTAATTAGCAGACAATTAAAAACGTTAACGACTCCATCACACACTAACGACAAGAAATAAGGAACTCAGTAAATTGCTTCAGAGACTGCAAGATTATTATACATCACAACATCATTTGCAATTGTAAGCAATTTTATCGTAGAACGATTAAAGCAACGATTGTTTGGTAAATAACGTCGCATTCCATCCAATTACAAACTCATTACCGCTATTTCTGCGAAGGCTATCGTCATACGTTTCATATTCTTAGCTAATGAATTCCAAATATAATAGTTTAATTTTGATTATAACGCTAAAGTCATCATTCATAATTGTAGCAAGTTTAATAGCCAGTGAGCAAGTGATTAATTCATTACCTGAGTATGACGAACAGTGGTTCCGAAAAAATGCTGATGATATACGGAGGCATTTTTTAAATAAAAAGCTTGAGAATCAAAAAGTTCGCATGTTAGACGAACTTTCAAATAACACAATCTATGTAGACGGAATACCACACATAGAAAATAACGCAGACATTGAAATAAGTAAAATGGAAAATGGATTTAGAGCGTTATTGGGTATGAAAGGTGTTAAATATATTTACAAAAGAGATTTTTATTGGAGAACTTGGCGAGAAATTGATTACAGAGGAAATAAAACAATTATTTGCTATACGTGCAGGAATGCATTAAATATGAAGTGTAAAAATTGCCATAGTGGCGGATATTGGGTAAGATATTACAATTTACCTGCTGTGAAGGTTGCTCAATATAATCTATCTTAGTATATAGAATTTATAGGTATGTTCCAAAATAGAACCCAGTGTACTGTCCAATGCAAATGACGTCATGAATCAACGCTATACTGGTGATTCGTTCCAAAACATAGGACAGTCTATTTTCTGGATGTTATCGCTGTTAGTCTATGCGACTCTTACAGCTTCATCTGACTCAGGGCTCGCGGGCTGTAAGGCCGCGAGCTAATCAAAAAGGGAAAGGCAATAACGTGAGGATGATGATGAAATGGTTTATGGTTTGGTATTGTTACCAATCATCATGTCGCCTTTTTAGGCGTTATTGAGCTATCTAACCGCAGTCCGAGTGGGGCAGTGCGGACCCCGTCTCTGACTGCTCAGAACATAGGACAGTACATTTGCACCATATTGGAAAAGTGTTGGCGATTATTTTGTCGTTTTGTGCTCCAAAAATCATTATATCCTCCTAATGGAGATACCAGCAATTATTCTATAATTTTTTGTATTTGAATAAATAAAAACAAATTCTGCATGCTTGCTTCCTTCAGCGCACACACAATTAAAATTGTTTTATTATGGATATATATTGTACTGACGAGCCGCCATCATATTGTGTCAATTGATGACGTCATTTGTATTCGGCAGTATACTGAAAACGTTTCGGAACATACCCTATATGTGTAGAAGCAAACGGTTAACCTGAGAAGGCGTCCATTAATCAAATGAGGCGATTTAAGTGATTTTTCTACCGTCCCCCTCCCTCTGATGAGATGTCGTGGGACTCGACGCCCTCATCTTATTTAAAATATTTATTCATAATTTGATTAATTATTTTTATATAATTTGTGAAGTTTGCATAACCGCGATAAATATTATTGTGTACAACTTAGCTATAATTGAATTAATTTTACGCTGTTTCTTGCGAAAAAAAATTACGTGGTGTTTGCCACAACCCTCCCTCTCCTACACGTGAGATTAGGTGAGATTCGGCGGGGACGCCCATTTTCGGCCATGGAACGCCCAACAATGTGAATTTGTTAAAAAATTATATCTTTATTTATGGTTATTAATCGCGGTATTCATTTATCCTCAAACAATGGGAATATTTTTGCACAAATTAAAAGTACCGGAAACATAATAATAAAAATTAGGTAAATCATTATGTCATTAGTTTGTGAATAAAAAAAAAGTGTTGCCAATCACAAAACACATTTAAAAAATCGATTCTCTTTTTCGATCGATTATTTACGGTGTCATCATTACAGTGCTAATATAATTTTTAAATAATTATGATGTTACGATAATTAAACAAGCGAATTACTAGCTGATTTCTAATGAATTCTTTAGAGAGTAACAAATGCTACGGCACAATTTAACTGTTAATCTTAACCGATCTTCTTTGAAAACAGATAAGAACTGTTATTCTTATCTGTTTTTAAAGAAGATCGGTTAAGTTATTCTTATCTGTTTATAACAACACATTTAAAATAGAATCATGTTATGATAACGAAACAAGTTAGTTTCCAGCTGATTTACCATGAATCCTTTAACCTTTTGAGCGGCAAAGTCGCCTATACTTGACCAACACCTGCGGGCCCTGAGCGCCAACGACGTCTATAGTTGACAAAAAACCCGGCTCCGAAAAATATGAAATATAGATATTGGAAAATTATTACAGGTATTTTAATTCTACACTCCTCAAAATAGGAATAACCCAGCAACATGTGAGTATAAAAAACAAGTCTTCTAGAGCCACAAGTACTAAGAAACATTGAACTAATAAAAATGGATTTTTATCTAAGCAAATACTATGTCCAGCACGCCAAAGTCGTCTATGGTTGACCGCTAGTGTCAAACGCGGGAGGCATAGATTTCTTGAAAACTATCCAAAATTCAGCTCAATGGTGTTTTTTTTTCTATTATTATTGATATTTGAATAAAATTAAAGGTTATAAACATAAAACTATAATTAGCTACATGAATAAAAAAATGTTATCAGATTATCTTCGCATAATAAATCTAATATCTCAACTCTAGCGCATCTTTAGCGCGTCATCGAAAATCAGTTCACTGGGCACCGTGATCAAGGATAGACGACACCCTGATGACGTCATAAGTGATTACCGAGAAAAGTAGAGCAATGCAACATGAACGATTCCTCAGAACTCATTCGGATTTTGGAAAGCGTCGATGATGATGAATTTTGATTTTTGATTGATGAATTGAATTTTTGATTGATTGGTGAACAAATATGTTTATTTATTCCATGACCAAGATTTTAGTATTATAAGGCTGATTTACCTAGTGCGAATAATTATATACAATTGTTGATTAATGAATAATTATGTACCTTTTTTAATAATAATACAAAATTACAATTAATGTTTTTTTTACTTAGGGTGTGAAGAGCAATTTTTCATTTTGTGTTGTGCCATTTTCTTTCTCAGTCTCAAAATCATCTAGCAGCATCAGCATCATATCAAATCCCCATTGTCATAAGAGTGTAAGACTTTTCTTCTGTGCGTCACTTGGCCTACGCCTTCCCCGACACATAAAATATTATGAATCGATGTCTGTATATTTCGGTTAGATCGATTTTGAAATCGATACACAACATTCTAAGAATGTTTCAAAAGGGAAGGTCAGCTACGCCGTTGTCGTCCAGTCGCGACAGTGTCGTCATTAGGATGGAGAGTAGTGCTAATGTTTACTACTATTTTATTGTTATTGTTTGTTTTTTATTTATGTTTATATGTACAAAGTACATATATAAAAAGAGTGGAAGACGGCACAAGATTAAATAAAACATACAATTTATTAAGAGTCATTTATAGCATAAAAAACCAACAAAAACAAGTTATTTCACGTTATCGATATATCAACTCTTGGCAACACTATTTTGTTTTGGCGCTTTGGCGTACAGGACACGGTAATGCGTTTTTGGCGTGGCGCTCAAAAGGTTAAAGCTTAACAAAACGCAACTGCACAATTTTTATCAATTTCAAGACAAAAACAACCGTTGTTATCGGCTTGGTTGAAAACGTTAACAACCGCCTTCACATCTGTAGTTATGATAATTAAATAAGCGATTTAATAGCTGATTTACAATGAATTCTATGCAGTATAACATAACGCTACTGCACAATATAACTGTTATTCTTATCTTTTCTTAACAATACATTTAAAATGAAATCGTGTTACGATAATTAAACAGTGAATTTCTAGCTGATATACCATGAATTTTTTAGAGCTTCATAAAACACTACTGCACAATTAACTGTTCTTAAAAATACACTTAAAATAGAATTTAAATAAAAAAGGAAGATACATTTTAAAAAGCGAGCAGAAGTTAAAACACCTCCAAGATTATTCTCTTTTTATGAAATTATTAATCGAATAATAATCGAATCGCTATGGATATTATGATGTTATGATAATTAAACAAGCGAATTACTAGCTGATTTACTATGAATTCTTTAGAGTACAATAAAATGCTACTGCACAATTTAACTGTTATTGTTATCTGTTTTAACAATACATTTAAAATGGAATCATGTTATGATAATTAAACAAGTGAATTTTTAGCTGATTTACCATGAACTGTTTAGAGCATAACAATACGCTACTCCACATTTTAACTGTTCTTAAAAATACGTTTAAAACATAATTTAAAAAAATAAAAGAAAATATATTTTAAAAAGCGTGTAGGACTGAAAGCGAAACTCAAATATTATTATTTTTTCATTAAATTACTAATCGAATACAAATCGATATCGTTTCGTTGTATTTATGTTAGTTATGTGGCAACATCAAATCTGACAGCTATAGGAAATATGTCATGCGAAATGAAATCACAATTCAACAAGTAAAAAGGTACTAGTGAATTCACAACTAAATAGTTGCCATTGTGTTATTTTGTTTGTTATTTTTCAAATAAATTCTCAAGAACTCATATGGAGTGAGATTGTCGATCACATTATAGTGTGACAACAGTTAAAAGTAAGTGTTCAACAGTTTTTAATTTATTAATTCTAGTGCTGATATTTGATAGTGATGAATGTATGAAATGATGAAGTTGTTTCATTTTTTAACATATGCACAAGCTATACCTGACAAACAAAATAGCTTATTTGTAACACGGCGATAAGATTAGCTAGCTAACACCAGATAGTTACGAAATGGACAATTTTTATCAAATACCAAGAAATAAGACAGTCGATTTTTAATTGTTTTTGGACTACTGGTAGGCAGTCAGTCCTTAATTATTAAATAATATAGGGCATTAAGTTTTAAGTAACATTTACCTATATTTGAGTTTAAAGTAAACAAATCTATTTTATTTTGTTCACTTTGTCTTATTTTTTTTTATTTAATATTATTTCAGTTGCCATCGTCATCGCGTGAGTGTCATGATTGCGAAGGATTGATAAAGCAGCAACACGTTAAACTTTAGAACGGGAACCATCTGAATCATCTAGTCCATCCTTGTAGCAATCTAAAGTGAGTAATGTATTGAACCTAGAACAACAAAGCTTAGATCATACATCATACAATATACTGCTGCCTAATTTTGTAAGAGCACCACTCACACAAAATCAATGTTTTTTCCTGGTTGTAACAATTCCAATCAACTCACTGTTCCATCAGCATTGCGGGTATGTATTTTTGTGAATACAATTACTATGTACCTCCAGAATGTAGAATCAGTAACTACCATTTAAATAGTAACTCTTGGTATTTACTTTTAGAATTAATATATAACCATATTAAAACATTTAGTGTAGCGCAAATTATAGATTTTTCTACATTATTAATAAGATAATATTTACCATCATATAGACTTTGAAAATATTTACAATATGCCCGAATATACTGTACATTATTATCTACGCTTATCAAAGGCACAATGCCAATAAATTTTGTCTGGAGTGCCCAAAATTTCAAGTAAACATAGTGGATGCTTTGCACTTGCTGTATATTTGATAAAAGTAAGAACAGGAGATAGTGATGAATGCATATAGGCATTATTGCAAGTACCAAGAAACAAATTAGAGCGGCTCATGAATATGGCCCAAGAAATATTAAATCAGGATGTTGTTCCTATGAATTTTATCCATCGTTACCACTCTCTGTGCCAAATTCTATTCAGTAATTATGATATTATATCTGAGGCAAATAATTTCTTAGCTTTCCTAGATGTTTTTAAATGTATCCAAAATCCTAACAACATCATAGGTCACACTGTGTATAGAAAAAAGACCCATACAAACTGATATTTAAGCGGTGAATCTCACCATAATCCTTCACAGTTAGTTACCATGAGCAAATCTTTGTTACAGAGAGCATATGGGATCTGTGAGAACAAGCACCTGGCCGCGGAGCTTCAGCACGTCAAGCAGGTTCTGCACAAAATCAAGCTTCGGGTCCCACGTCTTCGTCACAGTGACCGAGTGAAGCCGACCGCAGTTGAGCGTGTGCCTGCTGTACTACCGTATGTCAAGGGTATCACCCCAACCAGATAGACATACATCAGATTTGATAGACCACAAATCCTCGTTAAAGAACATTAATTCCTACCAAGGATGATATGTGAGGCTACTGAAATTAAAAAACATCCTAATTTCAGTAGAGAAGGCGGTTGGGTACTGCCACCTGCTTGGGACACTATAATTAATAAAATTAAAACAAACCCCAAGCATACCACTGCAAGACTTAAAGATAGAGTAAGTTCAATCTGCGTAGATTGGACTATAAAAATAATAATAAAAAGCTGAAGGTACTCCATGTCCCAATACTGACATTGGGATGGCAGTCACCTCAGTACCCCGTGACCATGGGTGCTATAAAGCACCTGAAACGTCAGGAATTAATAATAATAGTATAATAATAATATAGCCATTTATTTCCGAACTTTGGGGTTACATAATATTTGTGTTTGAGTTCCTATTGTAATACTAGTTAAAGTAAGTCCCTCTGTTCGGTGTGCCTTTTGGCATAGGCCTCCAAAAGAAAAATCACGCGTCGGGAATTAAAAGTTAAAGAAATTAAAAGCAATAAAATTGGTAAAAGTAGTCGTTAAAAAGCTGTATTTGTGAAAATAAAAAGCTTTATATCATAAAAATCCCGACTTTTTTTAAACCAATTCCTTAACCATTTCATTATTTTAATTGCATATTATCATTTCCATATGCTTTTATATGTGGGCACCCATGGCCGAAGTGTCTATGAACAGTGGGCATCCCCCTTTAACTTGCTTAAAAATAAATTAGCAGTGCTGCGGCCCATAGACATCTGCATTTATCCTCGATTACAAATCTAAATGCTGATGCGTTGTAACCCCCGAGGACTAAGAAAGAACGTCTCGTTCCCCACCATACGAAACACAACAGCATTAAGATGTTATTTTACGCTGGTATTTTGTGAGAGTATAGTCCTACACCCGTCGAACCGACCTATATGTGCTGCAACCATAATATGGCTGCAGCGTGGCTCTACCGCGTTATTCGCTACTTGCGATTGTAAAAGTAAACACTTCAATCAATAACTTACAGAAAAAAAATCCTTACAAACTTAGAACTCTAGAAATAGAAATATCTGATGTTTAGTTGATGGTGTATTAAATTCTATTGCGCTATGTAAAAGGAAGGTGTCTTGTATATTGTAAGCTAAGCCGCATTACTTTTTATATTGTATTTATTTCAAAATTACATGGATAGATCTAAGAAGCAGCGTAATATATAATCTAAGTAAGCATAATATATAATCTAAGTAAGTTAATCTGCATTCGCCCCGGAGGAATCACCTCAGTGTGCAAAGCACTCTTCCCCCTGGACTTCAACAAGTCGAGTGGGCCTGGTGGAGTCCCGCCTATTGTGCTGAAGACGGCCTCATAAGAGGATATTCGCCTTAGGTGCAACGCTTGATGGGCGCTGTTTTTTAGGGTTCCGTAGTCAACTAGGAACCCTTATAGTTTCGCCATGTCTGTCTGTCCGTCTGTCCGTCCTCGCTTAATCTCTGTGACCGTTAGCACTAGAAAGCTGAAATTTGGTACCAATATGTGTATCAATCACGCCGACAAAGTGGTAAAATAAAAATTGGAAAAAAAATGTTTTATTAGGGTAGCCCCCCTATATGTAAAGTGGGAAGTGATTTTTTTTTAATTTCAACCCTAACGTGTGATATATTGTTGGAAAGGTATTTAAAAATGACTAGGGGTTTACTAAAGTCATTTTTTGATAATGTCAATAATTTCGGAAATAATCGCTCCAAAAGTAAAAAACAATGTGTCCCCCCCCCCCTCTAACTTTTGAACCATAAGTTTAGAAAATATGAAAAAAAATCTGGAAAGTAGAACTTTATAAGGACTTTCTAGGAAAATTATTTTGAACCTGGATGGAAACAACAGTTTTTGTACAAACTCATAAGTGGGAACACTTACTGTGACGGACGGGAAACTACGGAACCCTACACTGAGCGTGGTCCGACACGCTCTTGGCCGCTTTTTTTCTAAATATATTGTTTGGAAGATGCTGCTGCCCAACTCCTGTTTTAAGTTTCCCTCTGTCGCCTCTTACGACACCCACGGGACGATATAGGGTAGTGGATATCATAACACCGTTATTACGAACCTAAATAATGAAATAAAAATAGCTAAGATTAATTAAATTAATTTATTACAGGTTATAGAAGAAAAGCCTCCACCATGTCCGTACGAAATAATGTCTATGGTCAATGATAATCAAATTTGCACAGCGCACTATACTCAGTACAACAATTTATCAGATTTATGTCCTACTTTGATGAATCTTAATGATTTATTAGCAACTTGCCATAATCCTATAGAAACGGAATGGAAAATTACTCGAAAATATAATGACCATGATGCCGAAAAAACGTTAGCAGTCATCTGTGGTGGGCGGGACAGTTGTCGCATTTTCACATCATATACGGTATGTTCCTAATATGTTATTTTTAACCATAGCACGGTCTAAAACATACATATTGTCATGGTGTTGTATTAGTTGAAGTTAGACCGTGACCATACAATATAAGGAGGCCGATCTCAATTCGTTGGAATAATTAAGTACAGCAATAATACTTTAATTCAATTTATTTAAAAAAATAATTTTCCTCGTAGTCCGAACTTAATGATACCTCAGGGGTACTCCTATATAAATTACATCGAGATCTGATGATAGGTTTACTAAGAAATTATCAAACTCTTCAATATGCAAAGGCATGACAAATGGACGAATCATTCTTTATCACGTAAACTGATTTCGATGATTATATTATATGTAGTTCTTTGAAGTTGGATATTACTTTAGTAAAAATGTTTACTTTATTCAAAAATCATCTTATCATTAATTTATGTTAAGAAAACCTTAATTACAATTATTTGGCATTTTATAATTATATGTGCAATAGACTTGGCTAAATGTACCACGACCGTTATTCATTTTGCAAAACATATTTAAATTTGTAATAAATATCATAGACAAGTGCGCTGTACTTGTCGAAAAATCGCCACAAAACATACTGAAAAACATAACTTGAAAAACTGATAGGCAGACGTAGACAGAGAAACCTATAGACTAATGATTAGCGTGGCCTTGAGTGAGAAAGGACGATAACGTAGTTTTAGGTTATACAATAATCTTCATGACTTTTAAACATATTTAGATAAAAATTTTAATTGTTCTAAGAACTGGAATGAATAAGATTCACCAATCTTAAGCTCAAAAACACTTTTGCTCACTTAAACCAATTTGTAAACTCCTTAGATCGCTACGAACTGTCAAAGTTATTTAGCAAAGTGTAGTTTGCTAAATAAAAAAAACCGGCACGGAGAAAGGGACAAACAATCACACCGCTCTGTCTCATTTCTATGCAAGACGTATGTATAAATCTATCTTTTTCGTGTGCGAATTCGAAAGAAGGCGTCAATTTGTCTATAGGTTTCTCTGTCTACGTTGGCAGACGATAACGACTACAAAACTTTTTTAATACCTAAGGTTCATTAAAATACATTATAACAAAGGCTGTGTTCCGATATACACTATGACCACTGTAAAATGTGACGTCAATTCAGTATACTGTGAAGCCGTTCCTTTTTAGTTTGCTATGCTGTTTAAAACGGAACGCAGTCCAGTGTCGTCTCCATTTTTCTACACTGTTTTCAAATGAAAATATTTATCATGTACACGTTTTCTGTTCAACAAGAAAATTATTCTTTGAATGTTGTTGCTTTTAAAATTTAATGTCCGAGTTTATTTGAATAACAGTATTAATTTATAATAATAACAATCATTCGTGGAAGCTGTTAAATCTCTAGGCGCTGTTATGTTTTTGAACACGTGATCAAAGTACTGAGAGTACCTTACCTCGAAAGCGCCAGTGCTCACAGTACAAAAATGGCGGTTATTTATGACATTATATATTTTCCTAAGATACTGAGACAGTTTACTAGCAATACACAACGGAACGAATTTTTTACCAGTAAAAGCACTGAGTAGTGTTCGCAGTGTATATCGGAACACGGCATTTATTTTTATTCACTATTTTCACTTATATCCAATCACGTCAGCGCATGGCGTCTAGTTTCTATGATGTTAGTGCTGTGATGCACATGGCGATAAAGCAACCGAGCAACGCTTTACTTTAAAATTGACATAATAATGTTTTTTTATTGAAGTACGTTTTCACTTCAATCTTCTTTCGAATCGTTGTGATTCGGAACTCGATGAAACGAAAATGTGACGCATAAAAGAGACAAATATATACATCTATAGGATTCAGCCTACGAGAGAAGGAGATATAATACAGTATAATATATTATGCATGTGATCTATGAGCAGTAAGGATTAAGACGACACATCGAAAATGAACGTTTATAATGGCTCCGGGCTATCGCCGTACTGATCCAAGTCAATACATAATTTCTATAAAAACTTTAAAAACGCCGTCATAATGTCTAAAAATGCGTAGCTCCCGCGACGATTAAGACCGCTTAGAAATTGTCAGAATCTTAAAATATTAAAAAAAAATCTTGATATAAGTAATCAAAATAATGAGCAAGTAAATTACTAATATTACTATTAATAATATAGATGAACTAATTCCGTTGTAATTTCAACTATAGTGATTTTTAGAGGTGTTTTCGCAAATAATTATGATCGAGTCGAAATTGTACGATCGTATTTTTAAACAAGCAAATCCAAGATAAAGACATGAATTTACTTATATCGAAATTCCAGTTTCGTTAGTGCTAGCATTTTTTCGCGGTGTCGCCTTAAGAACGTTTGTTGATTAGAAAATATTTAAGTACCTACTTACGATGATGAAATTGAAAACTTGGAGTCTGTGTAATATGTAAGTAGTATGTAGAGTTATATAATTTTAAACTTGGTAACATTATTATAATAAACAAACCCTACATAATTGTAGGGTTTGTTTATTATAATATGATACTCTGCATTCGCCTCATTCTCTCGAAGTATAGTTTCCTAAAGGTCCACTTCTATCGCGTGTAACTTGGACACATGTTTTTTTACTCAATTTAAATGAAACACACAGCGTATTTAAAATATACGAAATTATTTTAAAATATAAAATTATCATGTAAACTGTTTTAATTTTGATTATACTAATATTTTCAGGTGTTACCAGATTCCATATTATTTAGGATAATTAATGAAACAAATCATGTAATTTACTCAAGAGTCATGAAAAACGGTCAGAGAAACTACGTCTGTGTAGAAGATTGTGGAGTCCTAGATAACGCAACTAAATCAGTAATCAAATTAGAAAAACCTTTTATTCTAAACCTTTTGGATTACGCCTCGCATAAAAGCAAAAGGGAAGACAATACTGTCACTACTAAAACTGTTACAACCACCGAGAAAAAACCTAAAGCAGAGAATGAAAGGAAATTATTATTTCTATCAAAAAACATGCTGTATAACAAATATTTACATAAAACGGTGGCAAGAAATAAAAAGACCATCGTTAAATTCATAACTTCTAATTCTACAGTCAACAAAGTAGAGTCAATCACGAAGACATTGTGTAAAAAGTTAGAGGACTCATTTAGGAAGGATGAGGATAGCGATACCAAAGAGGACAACTAACTGTGGAATTGTAGATAGCCATGATTTTGAATTTTTTAATTGTATTAATTAAGTCTTTAATAAAACATTACAACTTCAAAAGAGCATTTCTGTTGTTGATAAACGATTATACTTAACAGTACCTGAATGACCAGTATTTTTTTTTTTTTTTGAAAATCGATGTTTTGAAAATTATGTTAAGATACAAATTACTTACTGATGAAATATGAATAATATTTTTTGATCTTACCGACATAATATAAAACACTGAATTGGTTATTTATATAAAAAATCATAAGTGCAATTAGTTTAATTTAAATTTTCGAGTTTTTAAAAAAATACTAAAAAAAAGGGCTCGAAATAATAGATTTTCTCACAAAAGAAGGGAACTTGAAAAAAGAAGGAAAAAAAGGCGGACCAAAGACAGGACTCGAACCAGGGTACTACGATTTCAGGGCCGCACGATATCCCATTTGAGCTATAATAAACATTAAAACATTGTCAAAATATACCTTTTTATATAGTAGCAGTTTTTCATTGCGTGAAAACACGGACAAAACGTCATTTTCTAAAAACGAATCCTAGCTAGATCGATTTATTGCCCCCGAAACCCCCTGGAAACAAAATTTTTATGAAAATCGTTGGAGCTGTTTCCGAGATTCCAATTATATATATATTTATATATATATATATATATATATATATACAACGTGTCCCAAAGTTCAACGATAAACGGGCACAAGAGGGTTGACCTGCTCATGACTACTTGCGAAAAAATAAAAAAGAAAAAAAAATCCAAATCGTTTTTGAAATTACAAAATGAAAACGAAATTCTTCGAAAATCGATACCCCGATATGGTATTTTTAACTACCATGAGCACATTTTTAATTTTTTTGTTTGTATTTTTTTTGTATCGGCAACCTTAGTAGTACTGCTATGTACCACAATCCTTATAAATTCCATAATACGTGTAGTTTTTACACAAAAATCAATCAAAATTATTTTTTTCCTTAAAATTTGGAAAGATTTTTACTTTCAGTCCACTTTCACTCATCGTGGTGTAAAAAAAAGTACTGATACTACTATGGCAAGTATTTTTAAAAATTGACTTAACTATCCAAGATTCTAAAATGGTATAATACTCTAGAAAAACTTCTGTGTGGCACAGGATTTTTTGCTAAAAATGTTGCATGAATCAAAATAAAGGGTACAAATATTTACATTTTTTTTGCATTATTAATATTACAGTAAATGTTCAAATTGTTGGTCACCGGCATTAATACAGGCACGGCATCGCCTTAAAAATATCTTTTCATTCGTCGTTCATATCTTCTACTATTGGTATGATCCGCAGCCTGAGTGATATTTTGGCGAAACTCATCCAATGTTGAAATGGGTTTTGAGTAAACCCTGTCTTTGAGACAACCCCAGTAGAAGAAGTCCAGGGGATTCAGGTCGTGTGAACGGGGTGGCCATAAGATAGGACCAAGTCGCCCGATCCAACGTCCTGGGTACTCTTGGTGTAAATATTCTCGCACAAGACGGGCATAGTGAGCTGGGCTACCATCATTTTGAAACCACATGTTTTGTAAGTCACTCAGAGGCACGTCTTCTAATAATTCTGGCAAGTCGTTTTGTAAAAAAGTTCAAATAACCATTTTCATCTAAGTTTCCTTGTAACTCAAAGGGCCTAATTACTTTTCCATTTAATATGGCCGTCCATAAGTTAATCTTGAATTGATATTGGGATTTGTTTTGTCTCATCAGGCGTATTTTCATTACTCCAACTATGTAAGTTGTGAAGATTTAAAATTTAAATAGCCATTTTTCTTGCAGGTTGTTTCATCCGACCATAGAACTTTATCTAAGAACTGGGGATCTTCCCTGTGCTTTTGCAGTATCACACGGCAAAATGCGACCCGTAGGGGATAGTCCCGCGGTACTTGTAATAACGTCTGCACACGCCTGTAGTGGTATGGGTGAAGCCTGTAACGTTTAAGAATTCGATGCGCAGAACTATTTGGGATTCCCGTAGCTAGTTCTATGGCATGTACCGAAATAGTCGAATCGTTTTCTATTTCATTGAGAACTTCTTCATCGCGTCCAAATCTAGGTTTTCCAGCGTTTCTCCTGGCAGATGGTAAACGACCCTCCGCAAACGGTCGATGCACATCAATAAATACTCGATAATTAGGGTATCTTTGAGCATTTGGGTACCTTTCTCGATACAATCTGATAGCAGCGTCAGCATTACATCGGAATTCTCCATAAATGAGATACATATTAGCGTATTACAACGGTGTGTACGGTAGCGGCATGATAAACGCTAAACAGTCCAAAATACGCCTATAGTCATATACAATTCACAAAACACACAATCACAGTCCAAAATAATGCCAGGTCAGTTCAATTTGCAGATCACCAGTCCAAAAAGCGAAGCCAAAAGTCGTTAGTACGAGAGCCACATCAATTGAATATGGAACGGTGCACAGTAAACAAAGGAGCAGAGTGTACTGACTGACTTGTTGAGAACACTAAAGCAACTTGTCTACCTGCCCTATAGTTATTAAACAATGAACATCATCTATGTCTCTCTAACGTATAGTCTCCCTCTATCTATCTCTCTCTAACTTCTAAATTTTACTGACTACGCACATCTCCAATTCAAGTTCTAAGAACTTGCAACAAAAACCTTTTTTGGCACATAGTGTAGTGTAGTGAAAGTGATTAACTAGCAACAAAAATTTATGTTCAAAATTTCGGTTCTTGTTTAGTAATGGTAGGCTTTTTTGTGGCTAGTTTTCCAAGAGTATTTTATACCATTTTAAAATCTTGGTTAGTTGCGTCAATTTTTAAAAAAACTTGCCATAGTCGTGTCAGTACTTTTTTTACACCACGATGAGTGAAAGTGGACTGAAAGTAAAAATCTTGGAATATTTTAGGGGAAAAATAATTTTGATTGATTTTTATGTAAAAACTACACGTATTCTGGGATTTATAAGGGTTTTGGTAGATAGCAGTAGTACTAAGGTTGCCGATACAAAAAATACAAACAAAAAAATGAAAAATGTGCTCATGGTAGTTAAAAATACCATATCGGGGTATCGATTTTCGAAGATTTTCATTTTTTTTGTAATTTCAAAAACGAGTTACTTTTTTTTATTTTTATTTTTTGTCGAGTAGTCATGAGCAGGTCCACCCTCTGGTGCCCGTTTATCGTTGAATTTTGGGACACGTTGTATATATATATATATATATATATATATATATATATATATATATATATATATATATATATATATATATATATATATATTTAGCAGGCTATGCAAACACGTGTATAAAATGAATAAAATGGAGAGTATATTTCATAGCCATGTGGATTTCAATAAGTGCACGTGCACTGTAGCATCATAGTAGCTTCATTCTTTCGTAACCCTCCCAGATTAAGAGGTGGTATAGGCATAGGCTTTATGGTTATGAACAGGTGTGAACTACTTTTTCCAAGAGACAATGCTGCAACCATGTTCAACAGTATTCATTAATGAAATAAAGATTTATTTACCGTTACAGCCTATTGAAATCTACTACTGAACATGGGCATCCCATAGAGCGGATAGTTGCCACAGTTGCCAAGATTAACAAGCGAGTTGGCAGCCGCAATTTAACCGCATTTTATTGTTTTTAGTCGTTATTAAGAAGACGCTGTTGTCCATTTCCTAATTATTATTTCTCTAAAAGAGGGGGCAAATGAGCATGCGGCTTACCTGATGGTAAGTGTCAACCACCGCGCATAACCAATTCCAACACCATCCCTGAAATTAAAGATTAGATTTTTTGAGCAATTTAGAAAAATCGCTTAATATTTCTACTACCTACGACGTTTTAAAATTTACGTACTAACGGCCTGGTCACAGGGATCGGCGGCGCGAACGGCGAAGCGGCAGGCGTGGCGACATGTCGCCCGGCGCGATTTCAGGGCTACGGGCAGTCACGTTTGCCGCCGCGACCAGATAGGCCGAGAGTGAAATGTCTTTATCAAAGTTATCTCGATATTGCTTAGAAAGTAATTGTTTTTTGATTCAAGACATAATATTTGAAAGAGATTGCGGAGTACATGATTTGAATAGGAATCGGGTTATAGATGGAGAATTCCATAACAAATAGAAGCTTTTAGAAAAAAAATTCGAGTAAATACTAGAACGAGTGTCGAAATCTGCGATTGTATTCTTGTTAATATTCAACCAGAATTGGAAATAAAAGTCAATGCGGATAGAATTTTAAGTTGTTTTCGTCGGCCCGGCATTTTTCGCGTCGAAAATAAATAAAATATTTTGTTCCCTAAACTATTCGCCACGTCTGTCATCCGACGCCGTGGCTTGCACCGTACTGGTTCATATATAGTTCATTTCAAATAGCATGGCAGGATTGTACTTGAAGCGGTCATTAGGCGATAACAAAAGAAGTGGTATTTACAACCGATACCTGGGCAGACCTTATCCTGACGTGGTATTTTTGTGGCAGCAAACAAGTTTTAATGCTTTTGTTAAATACACGATGACATTGTTGTCAAAAATTCAGTCGTCTTGTAACTTCGTTATTACACAGACGTACAAATAAACATGTTTCGACCATGGGAAATATCAAATAGTGCATCTACAAGTGATGAAAATAGTGTTCAGCGTAGAAAAAGACATTTAAGTTCAGACGCTCAAGACATAGTTTTGAGTGTTTACAATAAGCTTTTGAAACGCATGGGTGATAAGGGAGTGATTAAAGAGACATCGGAATTAACAAACGTGCCTATAAGAACTGTTTGTAGAATATTGTCAGCAGGATCTAATCATCTTCCTCGTAAACGGACCAAGATAAGTTTTATAAGAATTGATAATTTTACAGAGGAACATGTGAGGAGGACTATTTACAATTTTTACATCAACAATGAGATTCCAACGTTACGTGAGATTTATCAATCATTGATGAGAAGTGAAGCTGGTTTTGAATATTCAGAAACTACACT